TTCATCATCTAATTTTTTCTTTTACTGAGCATCAGGCAAAGTGTTTGATGTGGATCTACATCATACGACTTTTTCTTTTATAAAGGACTTGTCAAAAAATCTCTGTGTGTTTATTTTCTTTTTTTGTGAATCAGTAAGAGTACTATGTATTTCTTACTTATTCACTGGGGGGATCTGGTATCTGGGTGTCCCCTTATTGTTAAAGGTGACTTCCAGATTCTGATAAGCCCCCTTTCCCCCTGACTCCCACAATCACCAGGCCAAGGTTGTAGGAAAGAAGCTCTTGTCCTCATTAACATGGAGACAAGGTGCTTTACTAAGAGGGTTCCCTGACATGGTGCCTACCCATGTTGACAGTATGTAGTTATTTAGGATAAAGGTCTGGTATAGATGAAGGGAATCAATGGCCATTTATTTACAAAACTATAATGTTTACAGCAATTTAACTGCTTCCCAACCAACATCCATGGATGTCTTCCCAGAATGCACCCTCTGCACATCCCCAGCGGCGCACACCCAGGGCTGTCGATGATTAGGTAAAAGGCCAATGACAGCCATGTGATCAGTTGTGTCCAATAACACAGCAGATCACAAAGTAAATACAGTTGCTGGTTATTGGCAGCACTTTCCTCACACTGTCACAGCATGAGGAAAGTATTGGTGATAACTGGCAAATGTGACAGGGGAGATCTGCACTGATACTCAGTGCACTGATTATTGGTGCCTTGATTATCAGTGCCACTCAGCAGTGCCCAGCAGTGTCAGCCATCAGTGCCACCCATCAATGCCCAGCAGTATCACCCATCACTGCTGCCCATTAGTATCACCCAGCAGTGTCGCCCGTTAGTGCCCAGCAGTGCCGCCCGTCAGTGCCCAGGAGTGTTGCCAGTCAGTGCCGCCAATCAGTGCCGTCTGTCAGTGCCTCCAGTCAGTGCTATTAGTCAGTGCTGCCAGTCAGTGCCTCCCATCAGTGCCCATCAGTATCGCCTATCAGTGCCCATCAGTGCCGCCTATCAGTGCCCATTAATGTTGCATATTAGTGCATCAACAGTGCCTCCTCATCAATGCCCATCAGCTCTACCTCATCAGCGCCTCCTCATCAGTGCCCATCAGTGAAGGAGAAAAATTACTTGTTTGCAAAATTTTATAAAAGAAACAAAGAAAACTTTTTGTTTTTCAAATTATTTGCTCTTTTTTTGCTTATAGTGCAAAAAATAAAAACCCCAGTGGCGAGTTAATACCACCAAAAAAAAGCTTTATTTGTGTGGAAAAAAAGAAAAATATTTCATATGGGTACAGTGTTGCATGACCGCGCAATTCAAAGTGCATCAGCACTGAAAGCTGAAAATTGGCCTGGGCAGGAAGGGGGTGAAAGTGCCTGGTAGGCAGGTGGTTAAACTAAAATTTTCCTTTGTAAATGTCAATTTTGCGAAGTAGTTTGTATACATCACACAGATGTGCCACTTCACAGGCACAGTCAGGGCATCCCCCAGGCATTTTATTTAATAGAGTTTTGGATTTTTAATGTTTCATTTTAACATTACTAACATCACCGCCCCAACAATCAAGATTTTTTTTGTTACAATTTCATCTTTTAACAGCTTTGTTACCATTTCATCAGGGCAGTGCCCTGTACCTGCACAATATTGGTTTGACAGCCCCCTACCTAATAGCCCAGAAATGTCCAGAACTGATTTTTTAACATTTGCCTGAGTGGGGTTTGGTTTCAACACTCAAACTTTACTAATGTTCATCAAAACTCTGATCGAGCCAAACCCAGGTACATTCTTAATCAATCCAAAGTAACACATTGGATTGTAGTGTCCTTTCTTATCTACATCACCTCTGTATAAAAATATGGAAAGAACTGATAAGCAAAGTAATAGTTGATGAAAACAGAGGCAAGAGGCAGTACTATATTATGTCCACAGTCTAAAAACATATGGTATCAACCTGGAGGAAATTGAGTAATCAGCACTTCTTCCAACAAACAGTGCCTTTCACCTGCAGTGACCAAAGCACAAATTGAAATGTTTAGATTCAAATGGTAAAACACTTCTGCTTTAACCACTAGATTGGGCTGAGTACTGTACTGTTGTGTAAGTAATCAAACAAAAAATTCTATAAAGTTTACACAAAAAAGATTGTATTGCAAATTTCTTGACAGCAGGCTGACATATGGACTCTTAGGACATGAACTATTTCTTTGATAACACTAAGCAGTGTAACCTATATAAATCATATTATATACAAAAGATGAAAAGAATTACAGTGGATGTAATTAAAGTCATACATTTTAGCTAACTTCCGCTTTATTCCCAGATACAAGAAAAACATAACGTAAAACCTGGCACTATAAAAACAAATTTTAACTCTGAAAAAAAATAGAATATCATCAGAAAAGTGAAGAAAAAAGGACACAAATAATAAATAATTCAATATTCCTGAGGAAAGCTCTAGCAGAAGAGGCCTGAGCTGATTCAAACATCAGACATAAGGCTGACAAGAGGTATATCGATTTAGACAATAGTATCATTATTATTCTAGCCCGAGTCCTTAAAGTTGTTTCTTTCGCCCTATTTTTATTGCAGAATCTACAAACCTTTTTCTTATACCTCATTTGTTTGAACTTTAAGTCATTTCTGGGATTCAATCTAAACTTCATGCAAGGATATATAAAAGCTGTTCCATATTATATCCTTTTATTCCATGCTGGTACTGATGTTATCCTTTAATATACAATGGGGGACATTTACTACCATGTTAGACACACTAAGCCAATGTCTAAGCATGGTGTAGAATAAAATAAAGCTTTTTATTTGCATGGTTAGTATGTTTAACATTTTCCTTCAATAGGCCTGGCAAATATAAGTGTCTCTACTCTATCACTACTTCAATTAAATGTTTTGCTTAATAGATGTGTTGTTAGTAAACAGGCAAACACTTATGTAACCAATGGTTCATAGGTCTCAGTGATACCCATCTGGATATCATAGCCACACATGTAAAGCTAGATAGTTAATTTTCATTCATTCTTCTTCAATAATTAAATAATGGAATAGATTGTTGTAGAGATGTGCACGATGGAAAAATGTATTTTGCTTAATTTTGGTTTTATTTGTTAAGTAAATAATTTTGTTTTGTCATAATTGTTATGTTCCCAACTGACTTTGTTGGGCTATGCCCATAGAAATTAAATGAATGGTCTCTCATATTCAACCCCAATACAAAAGGAATCTTATTAGAATATTCATGCTACACTCACTGAAATAAAACTGAAAAAATCACTATCAATTTGGATAATTTGTTATGACGTTACATTTTTTCGAACTCTTCAAACATTAGCAAAAGGTCCAAACTATCGCATCATGTCATCCAAATGAAATAAATAAATACGAATGAACTTGTTGTTTTTATTAAATTTATTTTGGATTGGTTGAAATTTGTTACTATTGTGAGTCAGAGAATTGGAAACATCTGAACCTCAAAATAAGGCAAATTTTGCCTGAATTGCTATTTGTTGCGAAACAAATTGTTGTGAAATCATCTACTTGTAATATTATATGCATATTTCTGTTCATTTTTACCAGTTCATTTGGACATTACATCCAGCAATCAAAATCAATCATTTTTAAAATTTGTTTTCCTAGATAAGGCAATGAAGGTAGCAAATCTGTTCACCTACTACTAAAAATTAGCCCTCAGGACTTCACACCCTTAGTATTCCAAGACACAGATAGAACTCAGGGAGTGTGGAGTCAAAATGTAACCCCATCCAAAATCCCTTTCTCTGCATGACAATTTAGCATATGGCCCTTCAACTCCATGATTAAGTCTCATGGTTTGGATGAAACACTTCACTGGGCTTTGGATGAAGATGGCTGAGGGTTCTTTCACTTGTTTACTAATGTCTTTGCTAGGTGTGCTGTGTTTAGGACCTTTCTCTATGCATCTCACTTTGAGACTTACGTTCATCAACTACCAGGACTTCAGCCAACACAGACTTACTGCAGCATTTGGCAGCTGGAAGACCACACTTTTAGTCCCTTTCTGCCCTACTGTTTTTCTGTTTTCTGGAATAACTTGACACTCTCACCAAGTTGGATGTTGGTAACTTTTTACTCCATCTTTTCAAACAAACAACAAATTAATTATGATCAACAGATCAGGCTCTGCGTGTGGCAACAATACAAGTACTATTTTTCTTCTTCTTACTTTGACAGACAAGAGACATTTGCTTTGGCCATACTTTGTCTGTGAATTTAAATGAACAGATATGAAAAGTCTGGAGCATACATTAACCCCCAACTATTCAGCTCAAGGATAGGTGTGCTGCTATGGTATGCTGGGACTTGTGGTTCTTCCTTTACTGGACTTCCCACTGCTATACCATATTGTAGCCTTAGGATCCTTACTGGGGTATGCTTTGCTGCACCTCGGGTTGCTGCCCTGTGTCCCTCTGGATTTATTGTCTTTCTATGCCATATTGCTGCCTTGTTACCAATGCTGCACTAAAGTAGTTGTAAACCTCAGACATGAAACATGAACAAAGCATATTCCTCTATAGTGTGTACTTGTCTCAATTAAGGGCATTCACTGTCTTTTCTGTCTGCTGCTTTGTTCCTCTGCTATTACCATGAATCACTTCTGACACCAAGTTTTCCTGACACCAAGAGGAAAATATGACGGTGAGGGACCTCCAGATGATTGACAGGCTCTGTTCCTGTGTGCTGTGTGAATGGGTGTGTCCCTTCCCTTCAAGCAGCTGTCAGAGTTCTCCTTACTAGACTCTGTAAAGTTTTACTTCCGCTATCCACCCTTTTTTCCTGAAAGCTCAGACAAGCTGTATACATTCTGGACTTTGAATGGATGTAGAGAAGAGAAGACTGCAGATAAGCAGGTACAACCAGGGGCGGACTGACAACTCATGGGGCCCCTGGGCAATAGGGGATCATGGGGCCCCTGTGTCCTTCCCAAACTCAAAAAAGCCTATGAAAAAGGTACCAGGGGCATCTCATGGGGCCCCCTACTGACCCCGGGCCCTCGGGCAGTGCCTGAGTTTCCAAATGGTCAGTCCGCCCCTGGGTACAACTTATATAGGATGATTTGTTTCATATCTGTGTATCACCTGAGATCAGTCATTTCACTGGGTATATGTAAGGGTTTACTCACACTCAGTCATCCACTGAGATTACTGTATTGCTAGCAATGTGACTCTGAACGTATCACCTCCTGTGGTCTGGCTGGTTTCTCTTTGTGGTACTATCCTGTGTTCCTGCACCTCCCTGGACAGAACCCCAGCTTCAGTGCACTACTGTTGTTTACTGAGAGTCCCCTATATACACACTGCACATTATATTCCCTGTGATTCGCCATTACCTGTAATAAAGCCCATTTCTTACTACTATTCTTTAGCTTTGAATAGACTGGGGAAGGATAAGAACTTTCAGTTTTCATTGCTGTATAAGACTGCAAGATAATGCAAGATAAGATATTCCTGTATTGAGGCATGCTTGGTATAACTTCTTGGAACATTTAATAGGAGAACTTTTAGGAATATTTAATGGGTAATTGCACAAAATACAGCCAGCCTGTTTTGGAGGAAAAAGCCTCTCCCTTCTTCAGGGCTAATGTAAAAGATACTGTAATCTAATGTAAATGATATATTCGTATAAGTCCATAAACTATATATATATATATATATATATATATATATATATATATATATATATATATATAATTAAAATATCCTTAAAACATCCATGACAATAAAATTGCAGTCAATCCAAATAATTTGACATTCAGGATGATGCAATAATCCAGTAGAATAGAATAGAATAGAATAGAAACACATGAAATCTTTTTTGTAAAAACACAGCAGGCCTAGTACTATCTAATGTTATATTTTTTGAAAATAAAAGATGGTGGGGTGGAACTGACCTTGAAGAGTCGAGGTTAAAAAAAATCATGACAGAGTGCACTAGGGGATGTGTGTGAAGGCTTGAAGAAGACTGTGGGTAATAAAGGTTTGAATTAAAATTTAAAGGATAAAAATATTAGAATACAAAAATGCTTGGACACCAGGAAAAGAAATTAAGGGAGGTGCTAAACTGACCTGAAGAGTCGAGGTTAAAAAAATCATGCACAGAGTGCACTAGGGGATGTTGTTGAAGCTTGAGAGAAGACTGTGGTCATAAAGGTTGGTTTTTTTTTGTTTTTTTTGGAATTTAAAAATTAAAGGATAAAAATATTAGAATAACAGAAAAGTGCGTGAACACCAGGAGGAAAAGAGAATTTAAGGGACGTGCTAACCTTTTCCTCTCTGTGTGTTTTGTTGTCTGTGAGACATTTACCATTACATCATGCCTCTTTTACTCCATGTCACTGGACAGGAAGTGAAAAGAAATCTCCTCAATTGGGACTTGGGCTTTAAATGACAAAGCCTTCTTCTTTTTGCTGATAATAAAATTAATGAGCATAGATTAGTATTTCAGATTTTATTTATTCCCGCTGGGCTATAACCACTGTGTCAATTTATTTGCGCAGTTACAACAATAGAAGCAACAATGGAAATCAGTTGAAAGTTTCCAACCCATCTAACATCTTCTAACACAAGATGCCAAGGTTATCTTCCAAAACTATAGACTAATAGACTGTCCATTTCTTAAGAAAATTTAAAAAAAAATCAATCAGATTAGTATAACAACCAGACTCTGTTAACAGAGTGCATTAATCTTAATAATTTTTGGGTCATCATAATTGTCCAGTATTTCACTGCAACTATTAATAACGATAATGTTCTGTATGATATATTTTAAGCATTCCATTAAATACCTCAACTACATACTGCCTATACAGATTTATAACATATATTATATAGTTGTAGCATCACCAGTCATTATTGTCATTTACTCATTTCCATTAGTTGGGCATACATATTTATTAAGCCTCCTTATTTATTAATATCAATGAACAATATAGCACACAATGCTTTAAAAAGGGTTAGAAACTTTTTTTTTTTTTTTGTGTGTGTGTGTCAGCACAGTAACAGGTGTTTAAGAAGGGAAATCATCTCATTTTTATGAGATTTCCTTTCACTTCCCATTGTGTCTCCAGGTTAAGACCTAAAGGGAAAACTCCCTATAGGACAGAAGAGGGGTTTTAACCAGTCCCGATTTGATATAAAACAAACATAAAAAACTTTGGGCCATGCAATCCCTTTTAATTTGGACAGAACGTTTTATATTCTCCATAACCTTTACCCTATCATCTTTAACAATGCATGAGTTTTAAGCCTGCCCACAGACCTTCCTAGAGCTGGGTTCACTCTTGAGCTTCTTCATTCATTTTAGAATTTTGTTTTCTCATTTGTACACGTTTCCAAGGGTTTTTCAGGCTTGAGTGTTTTTGCTTCAGGCAATAAAAAAACAGTTACTAGGAGAAGGAGAGGCAAGAAATTGCATGAAAAGCATGCATTATGTATATTTTCAGGTGCTCCCATTGAAGTCTACATATACAAAAAAATGCAGCTCTCCACCCTAATGAAGCTCATGTACTTTTCCAGCTTCAAGTGACATGATGCTCAGGTGTGAATGGGTACCATAGGATACAATAGGAATGCCCATGTTGAGCTTTAAAGTGCTTCTAGAAAAGCACTTCAAATCGTTCAGCTGTGAACTGAGCCTAAGGGTAAAAAAAAAATCTTTATTTCATGAAATTGTCTCTACGCTGCTTATAGATTTTTGTAAATGGTGAGAAGAGTAGGAGGATACTGCTTCGAGTGGGAGGATACTGCATCAGCTTATCAGGGGAGACAATAGTGATTGTGACAGGTTTTTTTAATTGCTCATTTTTTATTCAGCAGCTGCCGTCAGTGCAGATGCCCACTCACAGGCATGAGATTTTTTTTTTACAAATCAGGCAACTGTCATCAGACATCAATGGGTGCCTCTATTAGAAGACATTTACAGCATGAGAAAATGCAGAACTATAATTCAAAATACTGGACTTTCTAGACTGAGAGCTCCACAGACAGATTCAAGATTATTTGCACTTGGTTTTTATCTATGTGGCACTTAGTCCAATCATTACTTTCCATGCGTACTGAATTCTTTAGCAGTCCTTAAATAATTAATAACAATAAAGAGTAGTTGTGCTGTTTTCCTTTACACAGTAGTGGAATGGAAACAAAATTCCATTAGCATTGCTTTACTTTTCCTCTAATGTGCTTAGAAGCATATTATGCCCTGATGTGTTTTTGTAACTTACAGTAAGGTCTTAAATTGACCAATAACGCTACAATATAGTGTACTGCAAGCATTCAATAACAGTAGTGGAGGAAGACAAAAGCCACTTAGTTCATATATTCTAAAGAGATACAAAGCATGTTTATTCTCTGAGGTTGTGCCTCCAAAATGTTTGTTATTTTCCCTGTAATAAATGCATGAGCTTTCTAATGATATGTACATGTTTCAGTTTTTATGCACTTGATTAATGTTAAGTGAGGTGAGACTGTAAGGGGATTGAGAGTCATTATTCCTGCAGACACAATTATTCTCTTCAGTTGGTTATTTAGATAACACAGACATGTACAGTATGTCATTGATTCCTGCTGCGTATGCACATACTCAGCTGTAAAACAGAACTCCTGCAGGATGGCAAATACCAGTAAACTTTTATAATATCAGGCAATGTTTATGGCTTTTTCTTCCTTTACTGCATCTGGAGGTTTCTTTATTTAATCAAAATTGGATGGTAAAAGAGGATTCGATGTTGGGAGGAATGGCAGCTTTTATATGTTCTTCAAGTGTTTGAAGTAGTAGTGCAGCCTGCAGCCATCTATACCACCCAACCAAATAATCAGTAGTCTGAGAAAGGAGGGTATGTAGTGGGAAAGAAAGGAAGGTATATATGGGTGAGGCATAGCACAAACAAGACTCTACTACATTTATGGAATGTCAGGTGGATTTCATGTATGTTGAGGATTCTGGCTTTACAAAAAGTGGTGGTGCGGAGGTGCTCATATAAATAAAATGTCATATAACACCTATTATGTGCCAATGTCTGCTGCAGTCCTGTGTAATAAAAATGTGGATTGAAAGGCCTGATGTTTCATAAACTAAACAGACCCATGGTGCTCAACCTATGGCTCAGAGGCCACATGTGACTCTATGCCACTTTGTGCTGCTCTTAGAGCCTATGCAGACATGAGTTTGTGTTTTCCTTATCTAGGTATTTTGCCCAAACCAGAAGGAAAATGATTCTTTAGGCTGTTAAAAGTTCATATAAAAACCCCATCTCTGATACAGATGCCAATGTTCTCATTATGCTCTCACCAAATCAATGATGAAATCAAGCCTTGTGTATCAACTTGTATTGCTTTCCACTTTATCTTCACTGTGCTCAGTGTGTGCTCCAAAGGTATATAGAACAAAAAACACTATATATAATGTAGTATGATCAAAGTGAAAAAATCACAGAAAAAAACTTCACCACGTGATATTGTTGATCTTCCACCTCACTTATTATTTACCCTTACCCTCCAGGAAATTACTTCTCGCATCAAAATACATATATCTATCCTTCAAAGTCCTTTCAGAAGTGACCTCTTCCTTCAGCATTAACTCACCCCCCCCCCCCAAAAAAAAACAAACATACATCAACCCTTTAAATTGAAAATTTTCCACTCAGAATAACACTCACATAATAAAACATGACAAATCACCAAAACAACCTCCAGATATATGTAATAAAACATAGGGACCATAGTGCAGTAGTAATTAACATTTGCACTTTATTCACTATAAAATATTCTTACATTTGGAACGAGCAGGTTAACCATACATTTAATTTAATTTATATTAGGATAGATGGAGTGATATATACAGTATATATATTTTATGACCATTAGGGGGAGTTTAGGGTTTTCATTTACAATAAGACTTAATGAGGTTTTATTTTTTTTTCATCATTTTTATTATTTATTAATTCATTATTTTATTTTTATTTTCCTCTGGCTGGGTAATATAACACCCTTTGGTGCTGTTTGGTATTTTAGATTCTTTAGAC